CAGATGCACCAAAAGATTGATGAGATCCAATCTAGCCAGCAAAACCAGCCTAGAGAAGTTCCAAAGAGAAACCGGCCTAGGACAAATGATCGGTCAGATGATAGAGTTTTATCAACAACAAAAAAAAGGTTTTGTATAGACCCATGTGCAATCCTAAAACAAGCCTTAGATTTTGTATAGACCCATGTACCAACTATAAGATGTACTATAATAAAGGTCAAAATTGTTAACAGTGAAAAGGTAACAAAAGTTTCCTATAAATACAGTGTTCTAATGGGACATCCGATATGACATTTATTATTTGAATTAAACAATTACGGAAAAATAGGTTTCAAATTATCGTAGAAAAAAAAGTCATCAAAAAGAAGACTTATGTTTTTTCCCCCGAAAAAAGAAACATAAATATTCAAAAATTGGGTGAGTGTGATAAGATATTTTAGAACCTAAAGATAAGTGGATCTGAAGTACCACTTCCAAAATTGATGCGATTTCGGATATACATAATAATTTATGCATTCAGAAACAATTGGAATAATTTTGTTTCCCTAGAACAAATACAAAATTGATCACATTTCACAGAAATATTAAAAAGGAAAATATAACTAAAAATTGGTGAAATGAAATCTGACTAACGAGAAATTAGAGAAGGAAGAAGACGAAAGTTAAAGAAAGTGGAAGCAAAGGAAAGAAACGAAGACAATAACGCCATTGTGGCCGATAACTTGTACCGATCACAATGTTTCTCTCCGGCTCCGATCAAAATTACGGCCACACTCGCCGTTGAGCATGCACCTCCCAGCGACAAAAACGACAAAACCTGAATAAACACAAATATTAATCATTGTCTAATTTCCTAAGTATTTTTGTTGCTTAATTCCAAAAATAACACAAAGTTTTAAAGAATTTTTCTTAAATCAGTTGTAGGAAAGCCTTCTCAAAGTTTAGAAAGCTTTCTAATAATTGTGTTACTTTCACAAAATAAAGTTTCAATTTTATAGTATTCTAGAGTATTACTTGTGTGTGTTAATTGGTTGATATAAACAAACACTAAATTGGAGTTCCTTTGAAGAGCCATCAAATGTAAAGAGTCGACCACCAACCAGCAACAAGAACATGATGTACAAGTTGACGTACTAATCTAGTGATTTCGCCATCTTGATTAAAGCAAAGCAAGTGATCAATATTCCACTAGTAATTGCAACATATATGTTCACATGACGAATATGTTCTATGCATGTAAGATGTTGTGACGAGTTCGATCAGTTTTATCTAGCTTTGGTGTTACTCGTTTTACATGAACCAGTTCAATTTAAATCATAATAATCTGTACTAAAAACCGCCTAAAATATCTAGTCTATACACCAATACTCTAGTCTTGATAGAAATGTTTCTATATGGACCAGTTCATAATCGAATTTTGAATTTTCAAAATCATATATACAAATTAGAACTTGACCGGTCCAAAACCAAAACATGGTTGGACCGCTTTCCTGCAAAAGTTTGGCCTACTACAATATCATCACTTTATTATTATGAGATACCACCACAAATTCATTACCAAAAATAAAATAAAAAGTGGAGTATAAGTTAAACAAGAAACAAAAGGAACTAATTTTTTGCATAATTTTGTTAGAGATTAGTTGACCCGAGATTTAGAACTTTCACCGGAACAAATTCTTTACAATGGATACCATTATTAGATAACTAAGTTGGTGTATAGACTAAAGCTATATATCCTTTAATGGCTAATGTGATTTGGATATCAATCTTTCTCATATGGTCCACTACAGATATAATAGTGGGAGAAGTTATTGCACAAAAAGCTAATATAAAGTTGTGGAATGCATTACAATATGAATGGTACTCATGGATTGTTTTGATAGGAACCAATCGAAAAATCTAAAATCTATATCCACGATGTCTATTACTAACCAAAATTGATCTATTTGATAACACCTTTTAAAACAATTGGTTCATTTGATTATCATGGATTGTTTCGATAGGAACNAATCGAAATCTAAAATCTATATCCACTATGTCTATTACTAGCCAAAATTGATCTATTTGATAACAACTTTTAAAACAATTGGTTCATTTGAAAACACGTTTGATAATCAAATGAACCAATTGTGTTAATCTCCTTTTGTTTGTGTCTTACATTTGTAATTCCTAAATATTGTTTGAAAAAAACAAGAATATGGACTCTATATATTGGTTAGCGTTAGTGTTGTCATTCCAGATTCAAATCCGCATAATGTATATCATTGGCAAAAAAAAAAATTTGAAAAAATATTTTTG